CTGGGATGTGCACACAGTTCCCCTGGGATGTGCACACAGTTCCCCTCAGTCTGCTCCGGGGCTGGGGACCAGCCCTTGCCCAGGCAGGGGGCAGCCACCTTCACACTGCACTGCTTGGACTCAACTTTCCGTGATTTCCTGGCTGGAAACGAGTCCCACCCACAGCAAACACAGTCAGGGACTGGTCACCACCAGCCCAGAGCTCACAGCTTGGCTGGTCTGTGTCTGTAAGCACTAAACCCACGGGTCTTGGTCGCCACAGAGCCCCCAGGATGTGCCAGACCTTGCTGAGGATGGGGACAGTGGAGGACACTCAGTGTGGAACATGTCCTTGGGCTGGCACCTTAACACAGGCACTGATTTAAAAAGCCAAAGGAGAAAGGAAACAGCGTTCTGAGCTTTGCTCCATCAGCCAGGGCTCAGCCTCTGAGAAAGGGGGGCAGCAGGAATGGTGGGACAGGGACAAGGGCTGGGCTCTGCTCCATCCATGGGCTCCAGAAAAGTTTCCATCAGCAATGCAGACAGGCAGCAACACAAAACTGCCACAGGATTGAAGGTTCAATGCTCAAATCAATTTCAACTGACAAATAAGCAGTTGAGGGAGACTTTTTTACACATAACTGTTTTTTACTTTTGAAACTTCTATTTCTCTTTTTTCTCCCTATGAAATCCCACGCATTTAAAGAAATTAAAGAAATCCTTAGCAGAGTGAACTAAATGTCTCTGGTAAACCCAAATCACTCCACTTAGAACTTTGTCTCACTTAAAAAGAAAAAAAAAAAAGAAAAGTTTCAGTTTGACCTGGTTTTTCCTCCCTAATTTTTCAGCTCACACTGTTGGAAATAACAGTCTGCATAGGTTACATCATTTGTGAGGAATCTCCTCTCATCTGTCTCCAAATGAATAACAACAAACATTCAAAAAATAATTGAAGTTTTATATATATCCCTTGGCCATTCAGGTGGTATGGCTGGCACGAGACAGAGGCACTTGAAACAGCTGTTGTGAATCTTAAGTATAAACTTCCACCCTTTGGCACAGCACCAGGAAATTCTGCATAGGAATAGAATATACCTGCTCTGCCTGGCAGCAGACACAGCCCGTGGCATTTTATACCTTCAGAGGGGACACAGAAAAGCTGATTTCTTGGGGACACACAGAAAAAAAGCTGCTTTTTGGGGGGACACACAGAAAAGCTGATTTATTGGGGGACACAGAAAAAGCTGCTTTATTGATGACCCACAGAAAAATTGATTTATTGGGGGACACACAGAAAAGCTGATTTATTGGGGGACACCCAGAAAAGCTGATTTATTGGGGGACACAGAAAAAGCTGCTTTATTGATGACACACAGAAAAACTGATTTATTGGGGACACACAGAAAAGCTGTTTTTTGGGGGGACACCCAGAAAAGCTGATTTATTTGGGACACACAGAAAAGCTGTTTTATTGGAGGACACAGAAAAGCTGATTTATTGGGGACACCCAGAAAAGCTGATTTATTGGGGGACACAGAAAAGCTGTTTTCCTGGGATACACCCCTGCCTTGTGTGACCCTTTTCCCTCTGCTGGATGAGTGTGGCTGAGGGGTTTGGGGGAAGGCACAGACCCACACACACAGAGCTCCTCTTCCTCCTGCATCAGCAGATACTTGGCTTGTAGAGTAACCCAGTGGTCCAAAAAATCCCAAGCACCACTACCCACACATCTTCACCCATCCCAGCCTTATTTCTCCGAGGTAACACAGCCTGTTCTGGCAGCCAAAGTCACCCCTGTGTCCTGTCACCCAACCTGTCCCACCCAGAGCTGGCCCCAATCCCTGCTGCACAAACTCTCCTGGACAGCACAAAGAGCATCTTCTCCAGCTGCAGTCGAAAATCGGGGCTGAAATCCTGTTCCAGAGCTTTTGTGAAAGTGCAGAGACACCAAACTGAGCAGAGAATGGGGGAAGCTGCTGGACACGACCAGCACAGGGTGCAGAGCATCACCCCTGCACGGGTGCCTGTCCAGCCTGGCTCCACCAGCAAGACAATTAAGTAAAGTGATTAAAATGATTAAACTGATTAAAATTAAACTGATTGAAGCGTGTCTGCCCAGAACTCCACACACATTAATGCCATCACAGAGTGTTACGTTGAGGAGAATCCCAAAATGACAATTAAATCCTCATTAACAATCTGCAATTATAAAGTAAATCAAATGCAAAGCCTTCATGGGAAATCTCAGCTCATATTCAGGGCGACTGAAGATTTTCTGAAAGGATAAAATGAGGTTAAACACCACAGACTGCTCTGGAGGTCAGGGCAGGACCTGTCCAGTGACAGCCACCCCTAACCCCAAACTCCAAACTCCAAACCCCTAACCCCAAACCCCAAACTCCTAACCCCAAACCCCAAACTCCTAACCCCAAACCCCAAACCCCAAACCCCAAACCCGTAAATTAGAGGTTAGTGGTTTGGGGTTAGGAGTTTGGGGTTAGGGGTGGCTGTCACTGGCCAGGTCCTGCCCTGACCTCCAGAGCAGAGAGGAATTTGTCTGTGGTGTTTGACCTCATGTTGTCCTTTCAGACAAGGGGCAGGGGCCCCAGCTGCACCCCCATTGTATGGCCCCTCACTGCCCTGTGCCAGTGTCCCCTGTGGGACAGGGACAAGATCCTCCCTGGCTGTTCCCAGTCTGGAAGAGGAGATCCCTTCTGCCCAGGCTTCTCCAGCCTTCACCCCTTCCAATTTCTGCAGTGGCAAACAAACCCTGTGGTTCCACCAGTGAAACCGTCAGGGTCGTGGGCCATGGCAATGTTTCAGCGAGAAAAAAGCCACCCATAAAACTTTCCTCACCCTGGAAATCAGCTGGGTGTCTCCTCTTGGAGGCACTAACACAGCAAATCTCCAGCTGCTCCCAACCCTCCACCCCAGCACTCCTCTGAACTTTCCCCAAACCCTTCCCACACGAATCCATCTGAAGACAAAGCTGGCAAAGCTTTCCAGCCCCCACCAACCCATTGCACCGTGGCTCCTGCCCCAGGTGCCCGGGAGAGCAGCTCCCAGTGCCCCCCTGGCACAGGAGTGACTCCCTGTCCCCTGCCCAGCTCCTCCTGGAGCAGCCTGCATGGCCCAGCTCTGCTCTGCTCATTCTTCTCCAGGCTTGCAAGGTTTGGAGATGGGTTCAGATAAGCATCCTCAAGCCTGCCTGCTTATCTGCACCATCTCCCAAGCAGCTTTGATCTGCAGGATTTGGCTGCAGCTCTCAGAGTTATCTTGGGAAAGCTTGTTCTGGGGAGAGTCATTCTCCTGATTAACAAGAAAAAGCTTTTTTAGTGGCTTTGAGCATTTCCAGCCCTGGCTGTAACCAGGGGGTGTCTGCACATGGAGAGAAGGAAAAGCCAAGTGAGCTTCTCCTCACAACCCCACCTGGGCTCCAGAGCCATTCCAGCTCCAATCTGAGCTCAGATATTTCATTTTGGGCTCCA